TTGTAATATGACCCAGAATTTGAAGAACATGTACAAATTTTAGAAGAATGACATTCCTCAGTTAAAAAATGATTAGAAATTGCATAAAACCCTAGCTTCACCAAAGTAATGCCCTCAAAATCTAAAAATACATATAAATAAAAACAATAAAAGAATTAAAAACCCTAGATAATACTGAGAAAATAAAGGAAACGAAAGTAAATTTTTTAAAATTTCAAACCTCAATTATTTGAAAAAAATGAAAATTACTTACATACAAGCACTAGCTTTTCAGCTAATTTCACACACAAATACTACTTATATACAAAATCTAACTATAGATTTTCAAAAACAAAAACAAAAACAAAAAACGATCTCCTGAAAACAGGAGCACACCATTTCAGTAATCGAATGCACACCATTTGACAGTAATCGGATGCACCATTTCACAGTAATCTGAAAGAGAAGGGAGAGAGAGAGAGAGATTCTCAATAATCGGATGCACCATTTCACAGAGCAATGAAAAACAAAAACAAACCCTAAATCGATGTGTATATATAATATCTATCTATATATAACAAACATAGGGTTTGAAATCTTACATTTTTGGTGGAGATCAACAGAAAACAGGGGACCAAAGTGAACGATCGCCTGTGATCTTGGAGATGTGGAGGCAGTTCTTCGTCGTTCGCCAGAAATGAGAGAAGAAGAAAGAAGTACCGTGTGAGAGGAGAGAAGGGTGTTAGGTCAAGAGAGAAAAGGGTTTATATAATGGCATTATCGTAATTGTCGAAGTTTTGGAGGGACATCTAAGTCATTTATGCCCCCATTTCAGGGGAGCTTCTATATGCACACACCATATCCCCTCTTCCCACACACTTAATGAGAGAGTGTGTTGGGAAGTTGTGTGTAAAGCATTTGTATAGAGAGAGAGTGGTGTGTGTAAATAGATGCTCCCCTATTTCAGCTGTGTGCATAAGCTGAAATCAAAAAGCACCCCCCGAGCTGCTTACAAATTTAAGTTGAAAATGGCTTAATTAAAGCTATAATATATCTCTATAAGTTCTACCAAACACACCAAAACAACTCAATTTAAGCTAAAAATTGTTTTAAGCATGTGCTTGTTTTAGTCAAAAAGTCAAAAAGTTACTAAAAAAACTAAAAAGCCTATAACCTATACCAAAAAGTCAAAGATTCCATTTTCTCTCTACTTTTTACACATATTTTCGCAAAAAATCAAAAGTTATTCTAATTATACTAATTTTTTAAACAAATTGGAGACGTTGCTGTGTGGGCTGCTATGCGGCAAAATGGGCTAATTTTGATAATACGAACCGTTTACATTTTAAAATACATCAAGTAAAACATGCTTGTAAAAAAATCAAGTTAATCAGATATCGTTTACCCATTCATCCACTTACATTTGTATCTATAAAAATAAATAATAATTGTGGTTTAAATTATTAAAATGAATATAAATGTTGGTGGATGAATAGACAAATGGTATCTGATTAACTTGATTTTTTAGAAATATGTGCTACTTGATGTATTCTAAAATGTGAACGTTTTGGATTATCAAAATGGGTCTTGAAATAGGTCCATTTTATTGCACAACAATTGTTGCGCGGGCTTCGTAACAGCATTTCTAATATTTTTTTAACTCATATTTTATCTAAAAAATTTAAAAAATTACTAAAATAATAGCCTCGTGTAAGCTGATTTTAAGTGCTACGGCTCCTTAACCTAATCCACAGTCCCAAAACATCTCATTCATTTTACGAACTCTGTGTCTCCATCTCACTCCTCCTCATCTTGCCGATTGCTGCTGCCACCGCCGCCGCCGCTGCCAGCTAGTCTCCTCTCAGATCGCCATACAGCTTGCCGATTTGGTAAGTCTCTCTTTCTTTCTCTTTCCGCGCTCTCTCTCTCTCTCTCTCTCTCCCACTTCTGTTTCTTTTTTCTTGTTTTTTGCTGACCTGATTCTGTTTATTGTGAAGTTGTGGGAGGTTGAAAAATTCTTATATTTGATGAACATTGAGTGATTTTAACAATGTACTAACTAAATATTCTACTGTCAAGTAATATTCGTCTTTAAATTGTATTCTAATTGCTTGATTAGAGTTTTGTAAAAACACTTTTCAGAAAATTTTATTTTCTTTTTTTTTTTTGTATTTATTGAATTTTTTAATATTTTAAGTATTTTTTTAATTTCTAAACATACCTAATATAAATATACTTAAAAAAGTAAAAAAATTTTGAATTTTTTTTTAAAAATTCACTAAATACCAAAAATATAAAAAAAAATACGAAAATTCAGTATATTTTCTTTCTATTTTTTATGTATTTATTAAATTTTTAAAATATTTTTTCATATTTTTTTTACTTTTTACATACATCTAAGTAAGTAAAAAAAAATTTAATTTAAAAATTATTCACTAAAAAAATACGAAAATCAAAAAACTCAATTTTTAAAAAATGTAATCCAAAAAACTCAAACTCAATTTTTATTTTGTACTAATAACTCGGTAAGAATGATTTTGGCCTTGTTTGGTTTGTGTTTCGTAAAAAAATTTGGGAAAAATTCTCTACAAATAAGTTTTCAAAAGTAATTAAACCAAACAAATTTTCCCAAAAAAATTTTTCCAAAACTTGTTTGGTTTACAAATTTTCCAAACAAATCTCTCTCATACACATCAAATCAGTCACTTTTTCCAAAACTCTCTCTTAAAATAATTTTTCAAAACATCTTTTGAAAAAAAACCAAACCAAACAAATTTTCGTACTTTTTATCTCATAACATGTTTCTCAAATACAAACCAAACAAAGCCTTTTTTTTTGGTGATAAATTCGGTAAGAATAATTATTTTATTTTTGGATGATAAAAAAATTCGTCTATATATATGTATAGGGAGCAGCTTGCCTCCGCTGCTTAACCGGTCTGGACGGTACTGTTCGGCCCGTAAGGGCTATCACGGGTCCTGTTTTAATAATCCAAACCATTGAATATGTAGAACTTGTCGACTATTATATGCATGTAAAAAATTACATTGATCGGATATCGATAGTTATGTGATCAAATCAGTTTTATATAATAAAAAAAAATGGACGGTGAACAAATTAACGGTTGACAAAAAACTAATAAGATGAGATAGCTATCGATATCAATCAAAGTGGTTTTTTACAAGTATATAGTGCCCGATGAGTTCTACACATTGAATGGTTCAGATTATCAAAACGGGACCCATGGTGGGTCCTTCCTTACAGGCCGAACAGTACTATCTAGTTCGATTAAGGACTGGAGGCAAACTGCCCCCATATATATATATATATAAACCAGCAAACCTTATCAACTTAAAAAGAGAGATTGTGGTGGCACAAAAGCAAATTAACTCTTTTTTTTTTCTTTTTTTTTGTTACACTTGGAAGGTTTAGGCAGTGGTTTTGGATTGTTATTATATAATTTGTTTGGATTGTTGGAATTTTAATTTGCTAGTTTGTCAATGTTGAATGTTAGATGAATGAATATCTCACTACAAGGAAAAGCACATTTGGCGGCTAAATTTTTAGTCGCTAAAAGGAAATTTTTAGTCGCCAAAAGTCGGGTTTTAAGTTTCCCCAACTAAATTTTTTAGTCACCGGCTTGGTCGCTGGAAAACTGCCGCGAAAGGTATTGGCGACTAACAAACTTTTAGTCGCCCAAAAACCAAGTCTGTAGCTACTAAAATTTTCGTCGCCAAAGCTCATTTATATTTTTTAAATTATACATTTGGCGACTAAATTTTTAGTCGCCAATAGTGAATTATTTTTTTTTTAATTTATACATTTGCTGACTATTTTTTTCGTCGCCAATATTGAAGCTTTTGGCGACCACCCGTTTTAGTCGCCAAAAGCTTATTTCAGAAAAAATAAAAAAATTACCCTATGCTCTTCCCAAGTTTTGAACCACCAACCTTCCACATTCTAAACCTCTACCAACACACTCTCTCCACTATGCCACAATAACACCACATGAATATATGTGCAAAGTATATTATTTATATAGTATATTGACCCGTATTAATATTAAACTATATATATAAACATAATTATTTTTATTCAAATATAATTTATGTAAAAAATAAATTATTTATTTAAAAAAAAAGGAGCCACTTTTGGCGACTAAATTTTTTTTTTGTCGCCAAAAACCTTAGTTTTGGCTACTACCAATAATTTAGTCGCTAAAAAAATTAATTTCCGCCTAAAAATAACCACTTTCGGCGACTAAACTGATTTTTAGTCACCAAAGCCACCACTTTTGCCAACTAAACTTAATTTTAGTCGCTAATTGTCCACTTTTAGCTACTAAATTTTTTTTAGTAGCCAAAAACCTTTACTTTTGGCTACAAAATTTTTTTTTGTCGGTAAAACACCTACAATCGGCGACCAAACCATTTTTTAGTCGCCAAAACCTATGCTTTTGGCTACTAATTTCTTTTAGTCGCCAAAAACCTTCACTTTTGGCTACTAAAATTGTTTGTCACTAAAACCCATATAATCAGCGACTAAACTAATTTTTAGTCGCCAATAAGTATACATTTGGCTACTAAACTGTTTTAGTCGCCATAAGTCTTCACTTTTGGCTACTAATTCAATTTTAGTCACCAATTGTCCCACTTTCAGCGACGAAATTTATATTTTTGGTCGCTAAAACTGCTTTTTGTTGTAGTGTCTATTTTAATTTTGACTGGTTCAGTTGATTTATAAATTAATTTTTTTTTAAATATTTGATTCAAGTTTTGTAATTTGAATTAAGTTTTCTATAATTCGCCAAACCTCCCGAACTGCCAAGTTGAAACTGATGTTATTTGCCAACTGATTTGTCGGTTTTTGATAGAAAAATGGTGGTTTCTAATGACAAATTTGTCAATCTGCCACCCGCCGCATGATTTCTCTTTTACGCTTAAATAGCACTGAATCACACTGCACACACCCCTACTTATCACTGCCTGATCTCTCAATGATTTCTTCAGTCTCAGTCATCCATGTCGGCGGCTACTTTCTTCTCTCCCTCAGTGGCAGCCGCTGCTGGTTCTGCATCTTCGTCCTCCAAAACCCTGAAGCCTGCCTCCAAAACCCTAGGTTTCAATCCTGGGTTTCTCTCGTCGTCGTCTTCGAAGACAGCTTTGAAATCTCTCAAAGCTCAAGTCATGCTTGGAAATAGGGTTGGGTTAGGCTCAGCTCTAGGAGCTCGCATGGACTCTATGCCCGAGATGACTTCACTTGATTTCGACAGCTCAGTGTTCAAGAAGGAGAAAATTACTCTTCCTGGCCATGACGAGGTGTTTTCTCCATTTCCTCACTTGCTCTCTCAACATTTCTCTCTCTCTCTCTCTCTATATATATATATATATGTGTGTGTGTGTGTGTGTGTGTGTGTGTGTGTGTGTGATGATTGTGTTGTGCATTTGTAGTATATTGTTAGAGGAGGGAGGGATTTGTTTCCATTGCTACCTGATGCCTTCAAGGGCATTAAGCAAATTAGTGTTATTGGTTGGGGTTCACAGGTATTGGTCACTCCTTCATTACCTTGATCTTGTAACACTTATGATTATTGTTATTAGTTTTTAGTTTATTTTATTTATGCGATTATTGTATTTTACTATTCCTGTGTTTGTAGAGTGAAAACCATTATAGAAAAATGTTAAAATATAATATTCCAGATTGAATTTAATGTTTATTGCACACGGCATGATGGGTATATATATATATATATATATTAGTTTGGGAAAAAGGGAAATTGAAATATTTGTTTCCAAAAAGGTAAACTTGGTTTAGCCAAGTAATGCATGATTTCGATATCTTCACACCACAAGCAATAGAGAACTCAAACCTTTGAATTTTTAACTCAAGTTTTGTGTTTTGCCGAAGTTGGAAGATGAGAAAAAAGAATTAGATGCTCTTATTTCATTCACATTGTCATCTTTTTCCTTTTTCTTTCCAAATTTCTATTCAAATCCATAATTCAAAACACACCATTAGGATTTATTATAGGGGTTCGAATTCTCTCAATTTGGTTATCCAACTTGAGAGAGCGTTTGAGCTTTGTGGACCCATTTTGAGCTCGATGATGATTCGAACTGTTCACTTTGTAGTACTCGTTTGAGTAGAATATTCATCTAAAAAATCCAGATGGTCAGACATTGGTTGCTATATATTTGAATTACATTTGTTTTAAAAAATTGGACAAAAATTATAATTTCAAAAATAATGATCCATTTTTTGTAATACAAATGTGATCCAAACATATATTTACTAATGTTTTATCATTTTATCTTTTGCATGAATATTCTACCCAATGAGTTCTAAAAAGTGAACAGTTAGGATCACCAAGGTTGGCCCCAAAATGGACCTGCCAAGACCAAATGTTCTCTTAATTGAGATGCCCAACTTGAGAGAATCCAAACCCTTATTACAAAACATTTTGGAAGTTGGAAAATTATGTTCATTTACATTTTTGTTTTGGCACTCTAGACAATGGTAAAGCCTCGATTATCTATCAAAATGCATTTCTTTTCCTGATCTTAACATTTTCCTTGTTCTATTGGAATAAATGGTGCATTAAGTTTTGTCCTATTTTGATGTCAGCTTGTAATTTATATTGTTGTTATGCAATGCAACGTTGTTCTGATTTTGTGTTTACTTCTATTCATGATATTATATATATATATATATATATTAATTTTATTTGCTGGGGTAATTGGTGGGTGTAAATTTTTATGAATGAACTCATGGAATCTACAAATTTGAAAGAACAAACCTTTAATTTCTTTTTCTCTTTGAGCCAGTGGGGAGAGGATATGGCTATGTTTGGTTTCAATCTATAGATCTTTTTTTTTTTTTGGAAAACTAGAAACTAGTTTGACAAAAATAAATTTTAAAAATTATTTTTGTCATCCAAAAAGATAGAACTATATAAAAATGATAAGTGTTTTTAATTTTTTCATGAAACTAATTTTTACTTTTTTAGAAAGAATTTTTTAAACAAGTTTCTGAAAACCAAACCAAACATAGGTAGCGGTTTTACAAATGGCGGTCTGCTCCAAAAATGAACTGACCTACCTATTTAAAAAAGAAAAGAAAATCTGTTTTTTATTTTTATTTTTATTTATTATTATTTATTGATTTGATTTTGGACTGAGGAAATTAATGCAAAAATATAGTGATTTTGATATTGGCCTGATACATTAGTAAATGCATTTGTTGGCATTGTTTTGTATAACTTGTTGTGAGTGAAGGGATATATTGGTAATTTTGTCCAAATGTGCAACATTTTCCCTCTATTTGGTTGGATTAATGAATTTTCATACTCTAAATTCAATTTATTAGTGTTGTCATGAATGTGGGGTTTTAATAGATGAACATTGTTAATAAGGATATCTATTAATACAATGAGAAACATCATTCTTTTTCATTTTAGGGCCCTGCTCAGGCACAAAATCTAAGGGATTCTCTTGCAGAAGCAAAATCAGACATTGTTGTCAAGGTGTTGTTTGCATTACTTTTGATATTATATTTATTTCTCCCTTTTTGTTCTGTGAATTGGTCTATCTTAACATGTTTGTTGTGTTTGCTTTGTAATACAGATTGGTCTCAGGAAGGGTTCTCGTTCCTTTGCTGAGGCACGCGCTGCTGGTTTTAGTGAAGAGAATGGAACCCTTGGTGACATATGGGAGACAATATTTGGCAGTGATTTGGTGCTGCTCTTGATTTCTGATGCAGCACAGGTTTGTAGATTGTAAAGTTGACGTGATGTTGCTACATGATTATACATTCTGAGAGACCCCAACTAATTTGAAAAAAAAAAAGCTTATGGTTATATATTCCCATGCTTCTCCATTGCCACTATCAGGGTTTTAAGTAAGAAAAACTGAGAATATGATCCTAAAACTGTAACTAACTTTGTGTGCTTCTTTAATGGTGCATATGAAATTGTGTCCTCTTGAAATTTTAAAATCTAGTATCTTTTTTCTTTCTTTTTATTTTTATTTTTATTTTTATTGCTGAATGTAAAAGAAATCACTACATATAAATATTATTAGTTTCTTTGTTCTTGCTTTTTGTGCTTCAAAATTTAAGTATACCATTAAATTAGTGAATTCTTATTCCTAAATTGCCTTCACAGCTATTGGGGTTTAAGAGAGAATGTGATCTATGTATTTGTTAGCATCGTCTTGATGCTCTTTTTCTAATAAAGTTACTCCTATTTATTCCAAAAAAAAAAAAAGAAAAAAAGAGTGAATATGATCTATGAATTCATAACTTTTGCACTTTCTCTTTAATGCTGCATCTAGAAGATATTTAATTCTACCAAATCTGTTGCTCCTGATGCTGGATGTGAAATAACTTGCGTTATCCAGAAAGCTAGCAGGTTCTCCTATTCCTGGTCTTGCTTTCTGTGCCTTGTGTAATAGGTAGAGTGATCAAATGATGAATCTCTTCAATTATATGTTGTGAGTATATGAATGCAAGATGAGAGATGATTTAGATCTATAAAATCTTAAATTGATATTAGTGGCTTGCATATAGTTTATTTTAAAGAACAAAAAAAAGCCAGAATATTTATCAAAATGACAAATTTCATGGAAAGAAGGATCAGGGATCCTTCAAAGAGGAAGAAAAGCAAAAAAAAATACAACTCAGTGCAAGTGAAGGCCAAATAGAGGTAAATATAAACAAATCATGCACCTACTAAAAAAAAAGGAAAAAGAAGTGACTTGTCATAATAATGACAAGATTATGAGACTTAGTTGGACTGTAGTCAATTTAGGCCTAGTAATGATGAATATAATGGTGTTGGTTAGATGATTTGTACATTTTAACATGATGTGGGTGTGTGTTATGTTCTTTATTCTATTCAGTCCTCTTGTACTTGTTCTTAATTTCAATATTAATTGCAGGCTGATAATTATGAGGAAATATTCACCCACATGAAGCCAAACAGCATACTTGGGCTATCCCATGGGTTTCTTCTTGGCCATTTGCAGTCAATGGGTCTTGATGTCCCCAAGAACATGAGTGTGATAGCTTTATGTCCCAAGGGAATGGGTCCGTCTGTGAGGAGACTCTATGTTCAAGGAAAAGAGATAAATGGTGCTGGAATAAATTCTAGTTTTGGCGTACACCAGGTATATATATATATATATATAAGCCCTCTGTGTTTTCTTATTGCCTCTATATGTTTCATTTGACTTAGCTACTTAACATCTTTGTGGACAGGATGTTGATGGCACGGCCACTGATGTTGCCCTTGGATGGTCAGTTGCCCTTGGTTCTCCTTTTACATTTGCCACTACACTGGAACAGGAATACAAGAGTGACATATTTGGCGAGCGAGGTGCTTGTGGTTTTCTTCATTCTTATTTTGTTATTCACCACGATGCTATATCCAAGATCTGTTTGTTTTGATTCATAGGCATTTTACTCGGTGCGGTGCATGGAATTGTTGAGACCTTGTTCAGAAGGTATACTGAAAATGGAATGAGTGAAGATTTGGCTTACAAGAATACTGTTGAGTGCATAACAGGGAATATTAGGAAGACCATATCAACTCAGGTTAGTGATCAAAATCTTGGATTTCATCAATTACAAGAATTTTTGTGCCTTGATTCTTTACCAGTTTTGAAACCCTTTTTATCTTTTCAAAACGAGTATGTCTCCCTAACCAGTTGCTTGCTTTATTCCCTCTAACAGGGTATGTTGGCTGTGTATAATTCATTGTCTGAAGATGGCAAAAGGGAGTTTGAGGCTGCATACAGTGCCTCTTACTATCCCTCCATGGATATATTATATGAGTGCTATGAGGATGTAGCCAGCTGTAGTGAGATCCGGAGTGTTGTCCTGGCTGGGCGTCGCTTTTATGTATGTTTTCTATGTTTTGCATACGTGTCAAAATATGGTAGGTACTAGGCGTGTTATGTTATATACAGGCTTGTGAACCTTTGTGTTCTTTATGATGATGCTAAAAATTATTAGTGACATGAGATATTTTCTTACTTGTGTCGCTGAATGCCTTTGCTTCCCCACCTCCCTCAAATCTTACAGGAAAAGGATGGGTTGCCAGCTTTCCCAATGGGTAAAATTGATCAAACGAGGATGTGGAAAGTAGGTGAACGAGTTCGACCAGCACGTCCAGCGGGTGACCTAGGCCCTTTATGTTCCTTCACAGCTGGTGTCTATGTGGCATTAATGATGGCCCAAGTAAGCACCGTTCTACGTTAGTGTGTTGACTTTGGATTGTACTGTTAAAGGAGTCACCATGCACTGTACTTAAATTGCTAGGTTTGCTTTTAAAACAGTGTTCATTTAAGCATGGTCAATGAAGAAGCATGGTTTATTGGATAGATCTCTGTTAGGTTGAATCAAATAATGGCATCTCTTTTGAATTTGTGTCTAATTTTTATCTTCTGGAACTTCACATGGTGAAAAGAAAGAAATTTATATTGTAGAACACTAATATTGCACTGAGAACATTTGTTATCTTCAACCATTTGGTCTAACATAATCTTTATAAATTATATATATATATATATGAAAACAGATTGAGGTTTTGAGGAAGAAAGGACACTCATACTTTGAGATCATCAACGAAAGCGTAATCGAGGCTGTGGATTCTTTGAATCCATTCATGCATGCCCGTGGAGTCTCGCTCATGGTTGATAACTGTTCAACCACAACTCGGCTAGGATCCAGGAAGTGGGCTCCGCATTTTGACTTCACTCTGACCGAGCGGGCCTTTGTGGCGGTAGACAATGGTGATCCCATCGACCAGGACCTTATCAGCAACTTCTTGTCAGATCCCGTGCATAGGGCGATGGAAGTTTGTGCTCGACTGAGACCTACTGTTGACATCTCTGTGCCCCCTGATGCTGACTTTGTTCGGCCAGAGTTGCGCCAGTCTAGCAACTAGGTGTTGATGGAGAACATTTAGTTTGTGCTGTAGCTAGTTTCTGTTTAAGGGGAGATGTTTGAGGGAGAAGTTTTCTTTAAATTGTAGGAGCACCGTAAAAGATTTGTCTGGTCTACTTCTGACTTTTTGATTTTATATTTGGAAACTGCTTTGTGTTGTGCTTCTGTTGAATGAACGAGTCGTTATAATATGAACTGTGTTTGTAATTTTGGGAAAATAAAATTTGGAGTAATGCTTTTATGCAACAATAATTTTGAAGGTATCACTGGGAAAGTGAGGCATTCATGACTTTTGAAGCTATAATTTTGAGATTGGATTGGCAATTTAGTGGGACCCACAACTTTGATGTTTCATTGCTAGAAGTCTTAGATCAGCTCCTGCTTCAAAGGCCCAAGAAAGATACAACAGCCCGACTAAGTCGTATGGTTTACCAATACTGCACAATTGGTTGAACCCAAAGCTTTATCATATACACCCTTTTTTATTTGCCTGATAATCTCGCATAAAACATAATAAAGCAACCAAAACTTCTTCTCATATGTTCCAAGATAGGAGATTAGCTCAATTTATAGAAGATGAAACTTGGTGGACAAGTTTCTTGGAGGATTCTTCTTGGAAGTTGCTTGGAGGCTCCTTGGAAGTTGCTTGGAGGATAAATATGAAGACTTGACTCTTGGAAGACTTGAAGGAGACTTGACTAGGCAAAGACTTGGAGGATAAGAATAGGAAAGGAAATTGGTGGGCAATTTCCTTGGAAGACTTGAGAAGAAGACTTGGAGGAAAAGGAAACAAATCAAACCAATAACACATTATAATATTGAAATATCTGCTAACATTCCCCCACCTATTTTAATATTATAGGTAACAAAAACTGAGATTATTAGGCAAATAAGGATATTATGCATCATGGTAGGTGTGCTCTACATTGAACCTCCATTAGTGAAACAATAATATCTACTCCAGAGCCAATAGTATGCTCAGCATTGAACTATGATTACTTAAGGGAAATAAATAATTATTGCACACACATAATATTCCAGGTATTCACATAAGCTTTAAAAGCCAGCACATTACGGCCTTGTGCGATCCCAAGATTCATGAGTGTGTTTGAGAATTAGCCCAAATCTCATAGGTAGCTACCCCACTACCACACTCACATAGGTGAATTCTGTCAAGGGTGCTCCTGTAACTATGACACCCCACTCAATAAGAGCTACATAAATTCATTAAGAGTTTTTTAATAACTCAACCTCTACAACGTTACAGGATAAATGAACTTACATCATAGGGATGGATAAAAAGTAATTTAGTGCATTTCTCACGGCCATCATATGATCGTTTTTCTTATTGAACCCAGTTACATGATCTCTGGTCCCTGGGTTGAGTATCCTCATACATGGCTCCTGCTATATTCAATGGGCTTCAACCCCATCCCACTCGATGTATTCCAGACTCTATCTCTTGCTAAGGCCTTAGTTAATGGATCTGCAAGATTATCACCAGATTTAATATAATCCACATTTATGATGCCATTATTCATATAAGATCTCACAATACTGTGTTTTCTTTTGATAGGTCTGGATTTACCGTTATAATAACGATTATTAACTCGACCAATTGTTGTGGTGCTATCACAATGAATCAATATAGGTGGAATCGGTTTTTCCCAACAAGAGATTTCATTTAACAAAATCTCTTAACCAATTTGCTTCTTCACTAGCTGTAGCTAAAGCAATAAGCTCAGCCTCCATTGTTGAATTAGCAATAATGGTTTGTTTTTTCGATTTCCAACTTATAGCACCACCTCCCAATGTAAATAAGTAACCAGTGGTTGATAATGAATCACCTGACAAGGTATTCCAATTGGCATCACTGTAACCTTCAAGTACTGCAGGATACTTATTATAAAACAAGCCAAATTTTATGGTACCAGATAAATATTTCATAATCCGCTCAATGGCTAGCCAGTGATCACTGCCAGGCTTGCTAGTAAACCTACTAAGTACTCTAACTGCATAGGCAATGTTAGGTCTAGTACAGTAAGTCGCATAGCTCAAACTACCAATCATACTAGCATATTCCTTTTGATTAATTACATCCTCATCATTTTCAATAGGAAATAAACGCACATGAGGATCGAAAGGAGTAAGAACATGCTTGTACTTATAAAAATTATATTTTCTCAAAATTTTCTCAACATAATGTGACTGATCAAGAAATATACCATCACAAGTTTTGGTAATTTTTATTCCCAAAATATAATTAGCCTCACCAAGATCTTTCATATCAAAATGGCTATCAAGCATATTTTTAGTTTCCATGATGATGTGCAAATTAGAGCCAAATATAAGTAAATCATCCACATAGAGGCTAATAATAACATGTGAATTTTCTTCAGATTTATAGTAGATGCATTTATCACATTCATTCATTTTATAGCCATTCTCAATCATGCATGAATCAAATTTCTCATGCCACTATTTAGGGGCCTGTTTTAAGCCATATAGGGATTTAACTAGCTTGCACAATTTGCTTTCTTGACCGGGTTCCACAAAACCCTCAGGTTGATCCATATAGATTTCTTTACCCATGTCTCCATTTAAAAAGGCTGTTTTAACATCAATTTGATGAATTTTTAAATCATGAATTGCAGCCACTGCAATTAATAATCTAATGGATGTAACTTTAGTAACCGGAGAAAATGTATCAAAAAAGTCAAGTTCTGCTTGTTGTTTAAAACCTTTTGCAACAAGCCTTGCTTTATATTTATCAATAGTTCCATCCGGTTTAAGTTTTTTTCTCAAAACTCATTTACAGCCAATAGTTTTACAACATGGTGGTAAATCTACTAATACCCAAGTTTTATTGGATAATAATGATTCCATCTCATCATTTACAGCCTCGTTCCAAAAAACAGAGTCAAGAGATGCCAAACCTTCTTGTAAAGTTAATGGAGTTTCCTCCACATTAAAAACATGATAATCAGGGGCAAAATCTTTTTCTAATCTGGCTCTTTTACTCCTTCTAGGTTCAAAAACTACAGTATCTTGGTTTTGTAAAAGAGGAGTAGAGGAACCGGTTTCAGATAAAATATTTTCTTGATAATTTTGACCCCCACTATTTTTAGATTTAAAAGGAAATTTTTCTTCATGAAAAATTACATCACCTGATTCAAAAATTATTTTGTTTTCCATATCAAAAAATCTATAGGCTATACTATTTGTTGCATATCCAAGAAAAGCACATATGACTGCTCTTTCACACCTAATTTAGGTCTTTTAGGGTCCACAAGTCTAACAAAAGCTAGACACCCCCAAACCCTCAAATACCTCAAATTTGGCTTATGCCCTTTCCACAACTCAAAAGGTGTAACTTTTGTTTTTTATGTGGCACTCTATTCATAACATAACATGCAGTTAAAATTGCTTCTCCCCACAAATTTGAAGGAGCACCTGCTTCAATTAGCATAGCATTTGTTAAATCAGTTAAAGTTCTATTTTTTCCTTTCTGCTACACCCTTAGATGCAGGTGAATATGGTGGAGTAGTTTCATGGATTACTCCCAAAGACTGAGCAAACGAGTTGAATCCAAAAGATTCATACTCTCGGCCTCTATCACTTCTATATCTTTTAATCTTTTTACTGAATTGATTTTCAACTTCAAGAAGGAATTCTTTAAATTTTTCAAAAGCATCACTTTTATTTTTCAACAAGGATACATAAGTATATTTTGAAAAATCATCAATAAAAGTGATAAAATTTCTATTTCCACCACGTGTTAAAATTCCTTCAAATTCACATAAATCAGTGTGAATTAATTCTAACAATTCAGTATTTCTCACCACACTTTTATGAGGTCTTTTAGTTGTTTTTGCTTGACTGCAAACTTCACATTTCTCAAACTTATTTGTTAGTCTGGGAATTAATCCTAAACTACTCATAACTCCCACATATCGGCTATTAATATGACACAGACGAGCATGCCAAAAATTCATAGAAGACAACATGTAAACAGAAACATGTGCTTTCTTATTCTCAACAATTAATTTAAATATTCCATCACAGGCATACCCTTTCCCCACAAATATGCCTTTTTTAGTGATTACATATTGGTCAGATTCAATAGTCTACTTGAAACCAGCTTTGTTGAACAAATAACTTGACATCAAATTTTTCCTCATGGACGGTGTGTACAACACATTTTTTAAAACAAGTACACGTCCAGGGGTAAAATTCAACTCAACATTCCCACACCCGAGCACCTTGGTTAAACTGGAGTCACCAAGCATAACAGTCATCTCCTCATTAAAAGGAGTGAAATCTTTGAACCAATCTTTATCATAGCAGACATGCCTATTGGCACCAGAGTCTGCCCACCACCCTTCCACAGATTGAACCATAAAAATATCTGTAATCATTGCCACAAATGGTTCCTCGGTAACATTAGCCTGTGGTCAAGACTGTTGTTTCCAAAATTTGCAAGTTTGAGTAATATGCCCACTTTTGCCACACACAAAACATATCACATTTGTCAGATCTTGTGAAGGGGGCTCTTGGTTCCATTTCTTTTGCCTCGGGTAATTTTTATTTTGTGGCCTTCCAATATTTTTCCAGATTTTTTTAACTGGCTTCCAGTGACTATTTTTATGAAATCGACCTTTAGGTAAAGTATTCCAGAAGTTAAATTTACCTTTGCAGTGGAATGCTCTTGTGTCATAAGCGCATCTTGCCCTCGTGCTTCCTCCTCTGCCTGAATCCGTGTGATTAGAGTTTCCAATGACGTCTCTTTTTGCTTGTGACGCATTGACTTCTGGAACTCCCTCCAAGATGATGGTAGTTTGTCAACAATTCCTGCTACAACAAGATTGTCTCCAATTTTGATGCCTTCGGATCTAACTTCAGCCACTAGCATCTGAAAATCTTGAACTTGCTCCACCACTGATTTTCCATCTATCATTTGATAATGGAAAAAACGTCCTGCAGCATATTTTTTAGCGCCTGCCTCTTCAGTGTCATATTTATTCTGCAAGGCTTTCCAAATTTTCTTGGCAGTAGTGTAAGTAGTATCATAATAATCATAAAATTGATCTGAAAGACAATTCAAAAGATAATATCGACATTTATACTCATCTGCGTTGTATTTCTCGATTTTTTCAAGATAAGCGGCATACTCCTCGTCGGTCATCTCTTCAGTGGGGACTTTGTTCGGATTTTTCTCGGTCAGGATATAGGCCACCTTGAGGAGACTGAGA